CGAGACAGGCTGTGGACCCTCTAAGGGAGGAGGAGGAGGACCAGGAGAAGGTGTAAGACCAAGAACCTGCTGCAGGAGCGGAACGAAGTACGGCCGGGGCCGCGCGGCGACGCTAGAAACAGCAGGGACAGCACCAGTACCCCCAGCAGGAGTACCCGCTCCAGCAGCACGTCCAGTAGCTCCAGAACCTCCAGCAGCACCACCAGGAGCACCACCAGTCGGACCTCCAGCGGTAGTCTCAGCGTCAACACCCTCAGCAGCACCAGCTCCAGGAGAACCCTCAGACCCAGCAGCTCCAGCACCCACAGTACGAGCACCGCCGGGACGCTCGGCAGCAGTACCCTCCGCAGCCGAAGAACCTCCAGCACCAGCAGCACGCCTCCAGCGCCTGGCAAACCACTCACGTAGCTCCTGAGGGGAGAGTGGCTCTCGGCGAGACGAAGCACCTCCAGGCGGAGCACCCCCAGTCTCAGCACCCCCAGGCTCAGCACCCCAAGGCTCAGTACCCCCAGGCTCAGTACCCCCAGGCACAGCACCCCCAGGCTCAGCACCTCCAGGCTCAGCACCCCCAGGCTCAGCACCCCCAGGCTCAGCACCCCCATGCTCAGCACCTCCAGACTCCGCACCCCCAGGCTCAGCACCCGCAGGCGTAGCACCTCCTGTCGCAGCACCCCCAGGCTCAGCTCCCGCAGCCGCACTAGAGTCACCAGTGACCTCGACCGGCTCGACCGCGTCTACCTGGGACACACCTAAAGGGGCAGGACCCTGAGGGGGGAGGGGGTCTACCGGGGGGGGACCTGGTACCAAGAAGAGCGGGGGCGGGGGGAGGGACGGAGTGCGGTAGGGGAAGAGGCGGTAGTAGGGTACCGACTCGTCGAACGTGACGTCCTGGGAGGACAGAACACGTCGAGAGGTGGGGTGGTAGAACTGCCACCCAGGGGCGTCGGGGGGGAACCCCAGGAAGACGCAGGGAGCAGCGCGAGGGGACAGCTTGTCCGCAGACAAGTCGCGGACAAACGCCCGAGATCCCCAGACCCGGAACGCCGACGCATCGCCAACCTTCCCCGTCCACAGCAGCGCTGGGGAGGTCTCCGGCCTGGAGACCCTGGGGTGGAGGTTGATCTGATGCGCTGCGTACCTGACCGCAAACGGCCACAGAAAATGGGGGGCAGCCGCATGCATCATGGACGTACGAGCGACGTCCATGACCATGCCAATGCGGCGCTCTGCAATCCCATTTTGCTGCGGGGAGTCCGGAAGCGTGAAGGTCTGGCGGATGCCTCGTGGACGACAGTAGGCACGCAGAAGGCCAGAGGAGAACTCTCCGCCTCTGTCCGAGTGCAGACGCAACACAGGGAAGTCCGAGCCAAAGCTCTGCCTGAGCTGGAGACGAGCTGCGCGGATCCAGTCGATCAGCACTTCAGTGACATCACCCTTGCTGCGCAAGGGGAAGACTGTGGTGTAACGCGAGTAGTCGTCAACCACCAGCAGGAAGTAGCGCTCGTGACCAAGTCCACGGACGCGGGCAGGGCCCCACACGTCCATGTGAAGCGTCTGCAACGGAGCCTCTGTCGGAGGAAACTGGGAGGAGTGAGGGGCAGCACGCTGGCGCCCCTCGACACAGGGGACACAGGCAGGGCCAAGGCCCTGAGGAAGGGGAGGTAGAGACCGGGGGAGACCAGACACAAGAAGACGGGAGGCCATGCCTCTGAGCCGAAGCAGAGAGGGGTGGCCAAGACGGTGGTGCCAGAGGAGGGTCTCGTGAGACAGACGGCGACACGAACAGGGGGCAGACTCAGGACCAGACCTGGACGCTGCAGCAAACACCTGACCAGACGAAGGGACTCTACCAGACTCAGCACCTGGAGGAGAAGCAGTGGTCAGTGTGTACAGGCTCGACCCTGGCTGACGTGTAAACGTAGCCAGGTGACGACCCGTGCTAGCCTCCGTGCAGTGCGTCACTCGCTGACTAGCAGGGGTGAACTTGTGGACTCCCACATCCTGTAGGTCAGCACCACTCACCAAGTTTGTAGAGAACGAGGGGAGGTAGAGACCAGGCAGGGTGCCAGAGGGAGCCGCCGGACACGGGAGGACCGTGGAGAAGCGAGCCAGGACAGGACCCCCAGAGGGGTCAGCCAGGGAAACCGCAACCGGCCGACTAAGCGGCGTAAGTGTGGTGCGGTCCCGAAAGAAAGAGCGAGACGCTCCAGAGTCAAGAGTGAAGGTGTGGGAGGCCGAAGCCGACGCAGTACCTGAGAGCGCAGACGCACTAGTACCTGAGAGAGCAGTCTCACGAGCACCTGAGAGCACAGACGCACTGGCACCTAGAGCAGAAGCCTCACCGGCACCTCAAGATATTGAAGATAGTTACATTACTTAGTGTAGTGTAACATTTCACTTGGTGTAGGCCCTAGTGAAGGGTAGTTTCGAGACCCTTCGTGGTTGGGGACAGTGTGGCACTGTTCGAATTCACTATACCTTGGCTCTTGGGGTTTGTAGGAGCTGGGAGTCATTCCCAACTCGTAACTCTTCATATCTCTTCCTATTTTGTGTTCTAAGACCATAGTGGCTGCCATAGTGCCGTTCGTTCAAACCGACACTGTGTCGTCAATACTTGGTGACATTGTGCGATCTAAACTGCTTATTGTAGGCGACGTTCAGACGCTCCAGATCCAAGTTGAATCAGGTCATTTGAAGTTGTGACCAGAACGCTATGAATGTTTGAAGCCGCTGTGCAGAAATCCTGCTGTGCACTCTATCTTTCGTTTTAGGCACATTGGAGCCTATTGTGACTATAGCACTCGGCTCTACGGACTCATCCGAAGGCAGAGCTGAGAGCGAGTGGCGAGTAGGCAGAGGAGTGGCCTGAGGCGAGGAGTACGTGAAGCCGAAGCGCTGAAGGACCTGCTGCACCATGTGTGACTTAGTCAGGGTAATGGTGCGGCGTGCTCTGTCCCAGGTGATCTGCAGGCCAAGGTAGCTGTGCAGTTCACCCAGGTCTGTGCACGTCTGTCTCTTCTGCAGCTCGCACTTCACGTGGGCGAGTCCAGCAGTGTCAGCTGTGGCAAACACCAAGTCGTTGACGTACACGAGGATGTAGAACGGCGGCAAAGAGGTGTCGGTGCGCAGAAACAGCGACGGGTCGGCAGTAGAGAGAGCAAACCCAAGAGCCGCAAGTGTAGTCCTCAGTGTGTTGTGCCACTCACGCGGTGCCTGGCTAAGACCGTAGACTGGCCGCCGGAGGCTCCACTGGGTGCCAGGAGGAAAAGACCCAGTGAAGCCAGGTGGGCGGCGTAGCCAGATCTCCTCGTGCAGGCTGCCCTGCAAGAAAGCAGTGCTGAAGTCAAGAGAGTTAAGCTCGTAGTCACGGTGAGCAGCTATGTGCAGCAGCACCCGAAGAGTGGCCATCTTCGGGGTGGGAGAGAAGGTCTGAAAGTAGTCAACTCCCTGCCGTTGACTGAAGCCACGAGCCACGTACTGCGCCTTGAAGACAGGCAGAGAGCCCGGCGGCCGCTTCACCCTGAAAATCCACATGCCACTGACGATGTTCGCCCTAGGCAGGGGAACCTCGTCAACGTAGGTGCCTGTGGACTTCCAAAAAGCCATCTCTGTATCCATAGCTGCCTGCCATTGAGAGGAGTAGGGACCCTCTATCGCCTCCGCGTAAGAGCGCGGAGTCGGGATGTCAAGTGCATCCGGGTCTCCCTCAGGGGTAAGCAGTACGGACACGAGATGAGGTGAAGCAGTAGCCAAACACTGGAACTCCTCCTGCCTGTCCTCAAGGACGTCCGTGCCAAGGGCACACTCACCCCCGACGGACGGAGGACAGACAGACTCAGACTCAGCGACAAGACTAGCACCATAGTCTAGACGACAGCGAGCAGAAAAGTCGACGAGCTCAGCAACTAGGGCAGACGCAGCAGCGGACTCAAAGGAAGGGTCAGTGACGACAGTAGCAAGGAGACGCGTGACAGTAGGACTGGCAGCACGAAGAGAGTCCGACTCCGGATCGGCAAGAGCAGGAAGAGAGGACTCAGGAGGAGAAGGCAAAGGGGCACGCAGAGGAGCAGTGGACGGACACAGAGACATCTGGTGCGTGCCAGGGACAGGAGGAGGACGCTGACGCGAACCACGACCACTAGTGCGAGCAGGAAGGACAGGCGACGCAGGCTCACGACGCTCAGCAAGACCTCTAGTAGGACCAGTGTAGGGAGAAGGAGCAGGCAGTGGGGAGGCCGGCTGTAGCTCTAACTGTGACGGGACAGGCTATGGACACTCTAAGGGAGGAGGAGGACCAGTAGAAGGCGGAAGACCAAGAACCTGCTGAAGGAGCGGAACGAAGTACGGCCGAGGTCGCGCGGCGACTTCAGACACAGCAGGGACAGCACCAGTACACCCAGTGGTAGCACCAGTGCCATCAGCACCTCCAGCTCCAGCACCCCCAGCAGCTCCAGTAGCTCCAGGACCTCCAGCAGCACTAGTAGCACCCACAGCAGGACCGCTTCTAGGACCGATAGCAGTAGCCTCAGCGCCAACACCCTCAGCAGCTCAAGCTCCAGTGGAACCCGCAGGCCCAGCAGCTCGAGTACTCCCAGTACGAGCACCTACGGGACCTGCGACACCAGCACCCTCAGTAGCCGAAGAACCTCCAGCTCCAACAGCACGCTTCCAGCGCAGGGGGAACCACTCGCGCAGCTCTTGTGGAGAGAGTGGCTCCCACCGAGACAAAGCACCCGAAGAACCTCCAGGCACAGTACCGCCAGACGCGACACGAGCAGGCCCAGCTCCCTCAGGCTCCGCACCCCCAGGCTCAGCACCCCCAGTCGTAGCACCCCCAGGCTCAGCACCCCCAGGCTCAGCACCCCCTGTAGTAGCACCCTCAGGCTCAGCACCCCCAGGCGTAGCACCCGCACGCTCAACACCCCCAGAGTCAGTACCCCAAGGCTCAGCACCCTCAGCAGCACCAGAGTCACCAGCAACCTCGACAGGCTCGACTGCGTCTACCTGGGAAACACCTGAAGGGGCAGGACCCTGAGGGGGGAGGGGGTCTACCGGGGGGGGACCTGGCACAAGGAAGAGCGGTGGCGGGGGGAGGGACGGAGTGCGGTAGGGGAAGAGGCGGTAGTAGGGGACCGACTCGTCAAACGTGACGTCCTGGGAGGACAGAACACGGCGAGAGGTGGGGTGGTAGAACTGCCACCCAGGCGCATCAGGGGGGGAGCCAAGGAAGACGCAAGGAGTAGCACGAGGGGACAGCTTGTCCGCAGAGAAGTCACGGACAAACGCCCGAGATCCCCAGACACGGAACGTAGACGCATCGCCAACCTTCCCGGTCCACAGCAAAGCTGGGGAGGTCTCCGGCATGGAGACCCTGGGCTGAAGGTTCATCTGATGCGCCGCGTACGGAACCGCAAACGGCCTCAGAAAATGGGGGGCAGCCGCATGCATCATGGACGTACGGGCGACGTCCATGACCATGCCAATGCGGCGCTCAGCAATCCCATTTTGCTGTGGAGAGTCCGGAAGCGTGAAGGTCTGGCGGATGCCTCGTGCACGACAATAGGCTCGCAAAACGCCAGAGGAGAACTCTCCGCCTCTGTCAGAGTGCAGATGCAGAACAGGAAAGTCTGAGCCAAAGCTCCGCCTGAGCTGGAGACGAGCTGCACGGATCCAGTCGATCAACACCTCAGTGACATCACCCTTGCTGCGCAAGGGTAAGACTATTGTGTAACGCGAGTAGTCGTCAACCACCAGCAGGAAGTAGCGTTCATGACCCTGTCCACGGACGCGGGCTGGGCCCCACACGTCCATGTGAAGCGTCTGCAGCGGGGCCTCTGTCGGAGGAGTGAGGGGCAGCACGCTGCCGCCCCTCGACGCAGGGGACGCAGGCAGGGGCAAGCCGCGGGGGAAGGGGAGGGAGGGATCGGAGAAGACCAGAGACAAGGACACGGGAGGCCATGCCTCGGGGGCTGCCGGACACGGGAGGACAGTGGAGAAGTGAGCAAGGACAGGACCCCCAGAGGGGTCTGCTAGAGAGACAGCAACTGGCCGACTAAGCGTCGTGAGTGTGGTGCGGTCTCGAAAGAAGGAGCGAGAAGCCCCCGAGTCAAGGGTGAAGGTGTGGGAGGCCGAAGCCGACGCGGTACCTGAGAGAGTAGACTCACCAGCACCTGAGGAAGCAGACGCACTGGCACCTAGAGCAACAGCCTCGCTAGCACCTAGAGCACCAGCCTCACCAGTACCTAGAGCAGCAGTCTCAATGCCCGGGTCGGGTGGAAAACACCGGTAACAGTCACCCTCATCACTAATAGTCACAGCATACATGGCAGCAAGAATAGCAACAAAGTCAAGGTCAAAGATAGCTACTCCCGCCCTAGACAGCTCACCCCAGCGAGGGATCATTGTGGCCTCAGGGAACTGGTGACGCCAAGCGTCCGTCAGATGCCAAAGCAGCGCTGGGTGGAGTGCGCACCCCTGTACTGCTCACCCGGGCGGTCGCCGGTGCGTAGGACGTAGGTGCACGGACCAGTACCCCCACCCCGCTGGCGTGCAGCGTACCACTCACGGAGCTGCTGAGGGGGGGGGATATCACGAGTGCGCTGCTGCTGTTGGCGCTGACCACCACCGAAGCCGACCCTCTGTGCAGCGCCACCACGACCAGCTCCACCTCCTCCGCCGCCGCCTCCTCCTCCGCCGCCACCTCCGCCACCTCCGCCCCCACCGCCACCGCCGCCTCCGCCTCCACTGCCGCCACCAACACCTCCACCCCCGCCACCACTCCCACCACCACCCCCACCCCCTCCACTGCCGCCACCGCCACCTCCACCGCCTCTGCCAGCCCCTCCAGCGCCCTTGCCCCGTTTGCCCTTGCCGGTGCGGCGTCTCCCGCTCGGGGCAGACGCAGCGCCGACCGACTCGAGACCAACGAGGTCGGCCGCAGCAGTAGAGGCAACAGAGGGCAAAAGGGGAGAGGGGGAACACCCCTCAAATACGGGGGTGCGAGGGTCACCACGAGAGGCTCCTACAGCGACTATGCTCTTCTCTGCCGCTAGGAGGGCCTTCTCGAGGAGGTCAACGGTGAGAGTGGTGGGGCAAACTGAGAGGAAGTGGTCCCTGACTGCGCGGAGAGAGTCAGGGAGTCCGGTGACTATGTAGTAGAGGGTGATGTAAATGGGGGGGGGGGGGTTCTTGGCGCAGAACTCAGCAGGAAGCGCAGCGCGGTAGCGAGTGTCACTAGTGCGGAGGTGCGTAATGAGGTCAGTGACTGTGGGAAAGGCAGCAAGGTACGGTAGCATGAGGCGGCTCAGTGCAGCAGTGGGAGGGGAGGAGTAGCGTGCAGTTACAGCGTCGTACAAGGTCTGAGCACTCTTGTACTGGCTAAAGTGCGCACGCTCAGAGGTAGGCAGGTGGCAACGGACAGCAAGACGTGCAGAGCATCGCGTGTGGCCCACTGTGAGCGAACAGTGACGTCAGCATCAGCAGCGGGGGCAGGAGAGGCACCAGAAGTGAGGTCAAAGAGGGAGAGACCGTCTACCCTATCACACTGTAGGAAAAGCTGCAGGTCATCTACCCAGACGTCCAAGTCAATGGCCGACCCTCAGCGTCAAAAGCGAGGACACTAGGGGTAGCCATGACAGCAGTAGACTAGCAGCGCGAACAGTAGGGTAAGGGCAGTGCAGTGATAGAGGCGCTGCTCTTACCAGACAGGGCGGCTCGGGCGGCTCGGCGGCCCGGAAGGAAATGCAGCTCGGCGACTCGGTGGCTCTGGCGGCTCGGGCGACTCGGCGGTACGGCGGCTCGGCAGCAACTGCGGCTCGGCGACTCGGCGGCTCTGGCGGCTCGGCGGCTCGGCGCTACGGTGGCTCGGTAGCTCGGCGACCCGGCGGCCCGGGCGGCTCGGGCGGCTCAGGTGGGTCGGGTGGCTCAGGTGGCTCGGGCGGCTCGGCAGTAGCTCGGCGGCGCCGGCGGCGCCGGCGGCTCGGTGGTGACGCCGGGGCCGCGTGGGGACGGCGGCGGGGACGGTAGAGGCGGTGCCGGGGCCGGGAAGTGTAGCGCTGGGGCCGCAAGGTAGGCGACGGGTCCAGCAGAGGCCGCGCCGGGGCCGCAGGGTAGGCGACGGGGCCAGCAGAGGCGGCGCCGGGGCCCCGCAGGGTAGCGCCAGGGCCGCAGGGTAGGCAACGGGGCCAGCAGAGGCGGCGCCGGGGCCCCGCAGGGTAGCACCGGGGCCGCAGGGTAGGGGACGGGGCCAGCAGAGGCGGCGCCGGGGCCCCGCAGGGTAGCGCCGGGGCCGCAGGGTAGGCGACGGGGCCAGCAGAGGCGGCGCCGGGGCCGCAGGGTAGGCGACGGGGCCAGCACGGTAGGCGACAGGGCCAGCAGGGTAGGCGACAGGGCCAGCAGAGGCGGCGCCGGGGCCCGGAAGGGCGGCGCCGGGGCCGGGAAGGGCGGCGCCGGGGCTGTAGGGGTAGGCGACGGGGCCGCTAGGGCGGCTAGGAGGGGGGTCGTGAGGGCGGCTTGAAGAGGCCGCGAGGGCGGCACAAAAGGGCCGCGATGGCGGCGCGAACGGGCCGCGAGGGCGGCGCGACGCGACGGAGCCGCGAGGGCGGCGGATCGGGGCCGCGAGGGCGGCGCGATGCGGCCGCTAGGGCGGCGCGACGTGACGGGGCCGCGAGGGCGACGCGACGGGGCCGCAAGCGCGACGCGACGGGGCCGCTAAGGCGGCGCGACAGGGTCGAAAGAGGGGAGCGCGACTCGGGCAGAGTAGAGCGCGCTCCGGGCAGGAAAAAAAAAAAATAAGGTGGTGGGCCCTAGGAACAGTTCCCACAGGGGAACCTGCTCGATACCATGTGAAAATGAACGAGAATGGATTGACTAAGGGAAAGTTGGGTACAAGTACAAAACCTAGAAAGTGGTACCCCATATGTGCTACTCCACTATAGCCTACAATAGCTATGTCATATAAATCTGACAGGACAGACCATAGGTCACTACAGTACATTCGCGCACAACCCCGCCTCAACCCACGATAGATCTGCTGGCTTGACTTCCTCGAGTCCAATTTTCACTACACGGTCACCTACAAAACGTGTGCTTCCAACATCGTTGTCGAACTGACCCGCCCAGCTGCCCAAGTTTATGCGATACTAGTCGCCTAAACGGGCCCGCTCCTCACCAGACATATATTTTCTTCACAGGAGGAAACTAGCTGCAGTTTGCAGCAGCACGAGGGGTGTGTTACGTAAAAGCCGTCACCGATAGCATCTGGGTACCGTGCTACAACTTGCTGCGGGAAATACTATTACGGGAGGCACAGGACGGAGTTACCTCTGGACATTTTGGGGTAGAAAAAACACGACAGCAGCTTCAGTAGTATTACTAGTGGCCCGAGATGCTAGCCGACGTGCAACGACACGTGGCATTATATCCCACCTGCCACCTCATGGAGTCATCAAAACAAAAAATGGCAGGACAGTCACAGCCGATACCACCCCCAGAGCGTGCTTGGTTGCAGGTGACAATCAACTTCGTTATAGGGTTCCCAGCTGGGGCAAGTGGAAATAATGCAATCATGGTCGTCGTCGTTGATCGGCTCACGAAAATAACCCATTTCGCATCGTGCAAGAAGTCAATCTCAGTTGAAGAAATAGCCCGACTCTTCATCGCCATCGTTGTTGGACTTCACGGGATACCTGCGGCGATCATCGGCGACTGCGAGACAGAATTCGCCATCATCTTTTGGCGGAACCTGTGGCAGCAGTTCAGTCCATCGTACCACCCCGAAACCAACGGTCAAACTGAGTGGACCAATCAGACCATGGAGCAGTTGATCCGAGCCACGTGCGACGACCCGGCAACCCGGGAGAAGCAGTTGCCCCTCATTGAGTTCGCGTATAACAACTCCACATCAGCAACGACGCAGCATTCCCCATTCTACCTCAACTGCGGCCAAAACACAACAGTGCCCATGACGCCAAGCCCCGACAACCTAGTCCCACGTGCGCAGCAGTTTGCCGAAATTTTACAAGCAGCGCGGACCCGAGCAGCAGAAGCCATTAAACAATCAAACGTAAACGCTAAACACAACACCAATCGCCACCGCCGCCCCATCACTTATCAGCCCAACGACCTCGTATGCTCGACACCTAGAACCTCCGCCTGCCCCTAACCCAAAACTCCGCCACCGATATTTTGGGCCATTTTGCATCGACCACATGATTACGCCCGTCACCGCCCACCAACTCCTACCTGCAGACTAGTGCGTCAGCCCATCATTCCATGTCAGCCTCCTCCACCCCTCCGTCCCATCCACAAGCCAATTACCACGCACCAGCCATCTAGCATGATATGACCACTGACAGACCTGTCATCACCCCTGAGAAATATTAAGCCACCGAGTTCATGACCCACGTGGGGCCCGCAGGATTGAGTTCCTGATTTCCTAAAAGATCGCACACCCACAGAAGATAATTGGGTGTGCCCGGATAAAATCGAGAACTACCCGTCCTCCTCCTTGAGTATCTGGGCAGCCACAATTTTCAGGATGTACACGCGTGTCAAAGTTGAGTGAGGTTTGCTATGTGGGGTAAAGACATTCAGGTTTGGTTTATGCACCCCAACCCAATGCAATGTCATCATCCTTGCCTCCTTTGAGATGGTATCAGCTAGGAACAACCCTAGGGTCCCCGTCACGCCACGTCACGTCACGCCTCGTTACGCCGCACTACGTTTCTAGGACTTAGCCTAGGATCCTAGCCCCACCTACACCATCTCCCGTTGCGCCTAGCCCCGTTGTGCCTTGCCCCTTTGCGCCCTGTCGCGTTGCGCCCTGTCCCATCACGATTTGCCCCGTCGCGCCCTACCTCGTCGTGCCCTACCGTGTTGCGCCTTGCCCCATCGTGACCTTAGCCCCGTCGCGCCCTGCCACGTCGCACCCTGCCCTGTTGCACTTAGCCCCGTCGCGTCTAGCCCGTTGTGCTACACTGCCCGGTTGCCCTCAGTCCGCGATATTCCGCCCTGCGCTGTCGAACCTCGTCGTGCCCAGCCCGCGCCCAGCTTGCGCTGCCCAGGCCCTGCCGAGAGCTCCCATGTACATGCGTCCTGCCTAGTAGCTGCATTTGAGGTTGCTGCTTCATGCTCGTGTCGGTCGCTTGCCCACCCCACCGTCTTGGTTACCCCTCTCTTCCTCGTCTCCGCAGTTTGTCCAGCCAGAGGCTTGTCTTTGGTCTTCCTCGCGTCTTGCCATCGCTCCCACCTTTACCTGCGCCGCTATGTGGTCCTTGCGTCGAGGGTCGTTTGCATGCTGCCCCTCAATCCTCCTCCCTTTGTCCGGCCACTGCTCCCTTTGAGACTCTCCACTTGGATGTCTGGGGCCCCGCTTCCCACCCTGAACCCGAGCAAGAGAGCTTCTTTTTGTTGGTCATTGACGACTACTCTCGCTACACCACCATGTTCCCTTTGGTGAAGAAGTCTGACGTGACTTCTACGCTGATCCGATGGTTACTCACCACTGAGGGCACTCATGGCCGTCGCGTCAGTTGTCTTCACTCCAGCCGCGGGGGTGAGTTTCACTCTGGCATTTTCGCCGGATTCTAACGCGAGCAGGGCATCCGCCAATCCTAGATGCTTCCGGAGTCCCCACAGCAGAATGGGATTGCTGAGTGCTTCATAGGCTTGGTCATGGAGATTGCATGTACCTCCATGATTCATGCCTGTGCACCCCATTTTTCGTGGCCCTACGCAGTTCGGTACACCGCTCACCAGCTGAAACTCTGGCCACGTGTCTCTCGGTCAGGGACTTCACCGACCAGTCTTTGGACCGGGTCCCTTGATGTCGCATCACGCTTTCCTGTCTGGGGCTGCTTGGCGCCTGTTCGCAACACCTCCGTGGACAAGCTCTTGCCTCGCGCCCTCCCCAGTGTCTTCCTTGGTTTCCCCGGTGACTCGTCTGACTTCACTTTCTACCACCCTCCCCTTCACCCGTTCCTTGACTCCCGCGACGTCCATTTTGACGAGTCTGTGCCCTACTACACTCGTTACCCCTGTCATGGTCTCCTGGTTCCCCCCCTCCTCTCTTTCTCCTTCCCACCCCTCCTCCTGCCCCTGCTCCTCTGGTACACCCTCCCCCCCCTGGTCCCGCCCCGTCTAGCGTATCGCACGTCACCCCTCCCCCCTCGATAGCCCCCCAAGTCCCGTCCCCTTCTCCACAATCGTCCTCACAGTCACCGCAGCAGCCGTCAGCGCTTCGACCACATGCAACTGCGGACTCTAGGGGTGTTGGAGGTGCGCTCTGGCAGTGTTG